TTGGTACTTTCATCAATGAAACCACACAACAACAACAATAAGTCAATCAACTATCATTAAAAAACTCTAAAATCTCTCGTCAACAAGTATAACAAGCACAAAACAATCCAAGAGTATCCACTTTTCTCAAACTATTCAATTAACTAGTCTAAAACTCGAATCAAAATAACATTTCTCAAGTGTCCAATTTAATCAAGAATACATCTTTCAATTGCTTAAACATAGCCAAATGACATCAAACACATATGAAAGTCAAAACCATCAATCATTGAGTAAGCACCAAAACACATGAACATGTGATGTTAATTAGCTACTTAATCTAAAGCCATTCAAAATCAAGTAACCTCGAGCAAAACATCATTTAGCCGAATCATCCATCATTTCCCTCATCAATCAATTATCCTAGGCAAATCAAGTCATAACAATTAAACTTCAACCATAGATTCACAAGTCATGACAAAATTATATCAAGCAACAAAATCATTACCAAATTAACAAGTTAAAGCCAAGCCCATCCAAAGTCACCTAAGACAATTAAATCATTCTCAATTTGCACATTCTAATGATCATAACCATGAATATTAATCAATTAAGCTTCACCAACCACTAGTCAAAAAGCCCAAAACTAAAAATTTTTAAGTTTTTACATAAACACTCGCATTACTCGTACTAAATCTATAATTAGACACATACTCATCAACATTACAATAGTCATTCTCCATTTAATTACTTACCCAACAACTTTATAATGTAAAGTCACCTTTTAGCAACTAACCCAAACCTTAGGAATTCTAAATTTGCACAAACACATCATTAAACATATTCAATCAACAAATAAATACATGTCATAGCATCATAATAATAAATCTTTCATCAATTTCACAATCTAAGTAATTAATTGCACACAGTTCAATCAAATGCCTAATTAGAAACCTTAGCTTTCACAAGCACATAAATCTCTAAATCAACATATAATTACTCTAAATCTTATGGTGAGTTAAAGTTACACTTACTTTAGGTTTGATTTGAAATCACCTTAAAACCTCTCAAAATTGCACCTATTTCTTGCCTAAAATTTTGGCCAAAACAGTACCCTTCTCTCTTGAATAGTTTGCCCCTTCTTTTGGCAAAGCTTGCTTCTTTTGAATAATTTCAGTTTCTTCCTTTGGTAAATTTTGGTTTTCTCTAACTTTCTCTCTTGTGATTTAGTCTCTCTTACTCTCTTTCTCTCTTAGTATTCAAGCTCTCCCTCAAAGATAGGTGCTTGGAAGAATGAAAGCTTAAGTGAAAATTTCCCCCTCTTATTTCCCTCTCTTGACGAACTTTTTTGATCTAAAATACCCTTAATAAGTCGCATATTCTAAGGTGGTTATTTTATATTTGTTCATTTTAATTTAGGTGAAACATCTAATTAGAATATTATTTTCTAGATTAATACATGCATAGGTCACTAATTACAATTTAATTTTAAGTTATACATATATGAAACTCATTTTATTAAACTATATTTACTAGTCTCTCACTTGTCAATTAGTTCAATATTCACATATAACGCTTAATAAATATTTAATTTGTAAACAAAACATGTATCACTAATAACATAAGTATGGTATGAATATAATTAATAAAATAAATATTCACAAAAAGCATATAAATTAATTACGAGTGTTACATCTATCATCACCAAATGTATTTCATCAACATTTCTATCACTTTATTCTTTATTGCATATTTTAAGAATGTGTTTTTTAATTTATTAAATCCATTTGATCATTGTAGTATTAGCTAATTAGTTTGGTGATAATGAAATTTTTTATTAAGAAAATTTAACAAAAATAAAAAAAAGATATATTAAATTGGTGTTATAAAAGAAATTATAACAATAATAGAATTAAAGAAAAAAAATGATGGAGAAATGATTTTACTATAAAATAAAGTGAATACAAGTGAAAAAAAACTTCAAAAAGTTCTCTCAATCTCTATAAAACACATTTCCTCAAACTAATGAACAATCAAACCTATTTATAAGCTTCAAGATATTGAAGAGAATTAGAAAAGACATAGAAGAGATTATGAACCATTAAAAGATGCATAAATAATTAAATCAATTGCATCACTCTTTCAAGTTTTCGTATTGAATGGAGAATTGAATCACATGAGTAGTGAAAATATGAAATGGACATTTGTTATTTCATAACATTCCTTTTTCAATATTCATCGTACAAGGAACATGTCTCTTTAAAAACTTATTAGGAAAAAGCTCAATGAAAAAACAAATCTTAGTAAAGGAAAAAAAATACAATATTCCTTATATATATTAATCTCTATGTTGGGCTCCCTTATTGAAAACATCTTTTAAGATTTTTAAGATAACGAATCTCGATCTTACGAATCATAATTAATGTAAATTATTCTATAAAGAGATAGATAAAAAGAGGAGAGAGAAATATAAGAGAGAAAATTAAAACAAAATTGAGTTGAGATAAAAATCTTTTTATAATTTTTGGTGGATTCATATGTGATTCTTTTTTTAAAAAAAATGTCTAACTCTCTCTTAAAAAATAAATTTATGGAACAATTACTATATACTTTGAGCACCATAAAATTTATCCAAATTTATACTTCAAAAACACAAATTCGGATGTAATTATTACCTTCTTAATAATCGTTTTTCTAAAAAATAAAATAAAATAAATAATAATAATAAATTTCATAGGGATAAATTTTATGTATAATGATCTCCTGCCAAATATAACCTAATATTTCCTCTACAAATACCTTTCCCCGTAACCAATGAGGAGGTAAACTAAATAATGCTCACCTCTGCATTTAACAGAGAGATGAACCAATCAACTTATAAAGTGAATATCACCTGACGAAACTTACAAAATAATTTTAGAAACTGGAACAAAGTTGAAAAGATTAGATGGATGGACAGGTGAGAAAAAAGTGGTGATTGGACAATGGAAATGAAATGGTAATGAGAAAGAAGAGAAAATGGTTAAGGTCTGGGACTATGGGATGGAGAGGGTACCATGTCGTAGGCAGCCTTTTTGTGTTGACAAGACAGGGATTTCAGTAAGTGACTGAGAATCTGATGTGATCTCTTTTGCCACAAAACATATTATTTCCTCATTGCCATCATAGTCCCATTGGCTCTTTTGTGCACCCCCCACCCTTCACTGTCTGTCTTCCTGCTCCACCTTCCCTAATTATTTAACATCTTGAATCTGAAAGCATTTTCGGATAATTTATAGTAATAAGTAATAACACACTCTGAAGTGTGCGTGCGAGAATTATCTTTGCTAGCTAGTGTGGTTATATACATCGGTTTCCCTGTCTTGAAGTTCTTGTGTGTTTTTTTTTCATTAGAACCACGTTGGGTTCGCTTCTATCTCTTTGGAATTCTTTGAAAATTTATGATAGGAAAAGTTTTGATACTGCCATATGTGTTTCTATTTATTTGTTGTATGTAGATTATTCTTTTGATAATCTCTTGAAATTAAATATCAAATTTTAATTTCAATAGGGAAAAAAAACCTAACCACTGAATATATTGAAAAATAATATAAATTATGTCTTAAAGTTTTATTTAATAATTTAATTTTTTTAATAATAAATTTTTTTAACATGTTATCATAATTTTAATGATTAAAAAATTAAAATTTTAAAATTTATCATTCTAATTTTTTTAATTAATTAAATATAAAATAACATGAACCTATGAGAGGTTTAAATTTAAAAAATTTTCATTTGGAGGAGTGTTTTAAAAATAATATAATCATATCTTAATGTCTTAAGCTACAGTAACAGTGCCTATCAAAATTCCAATTTAAGGATTAAAAAATAATACAAATTGTTACTCATTTCTTTGGGATTGGTCAAATTGCTTCTTTAGGTACAAAATCGTTATAAAATTTCAGACAGACACATCCTTTCATATGGAAGACAGCGATCGATTTATTACCTTAGATGATAGAAATCATTGCCGAGTGAAGAAGGGAATGGAACTAAGAATATACTAGTCTAGTATTGTCAAAGAAGCAGGGGAGCTTTGTCCCTCAAGGAGTCAAGCAATTTACTTCACTAAAATATCTTTTTAGAATGCAAAATCGCTGCAGCTCAAAATAAATAGTGGAGTAAATTGTAAGTTAGTTTATGCGTTTCTAGGAAACGAATAAATTATTCCTTCAATTTCAAAATTCATAAATTAATCCCTTCATCCCTTTTTTTTTTTTTTTTTTTTTTATGAATGAGAGAGATCTAGTTTATTAATATTTGATTAAAAGAGTCATGTATGTAATTTATTAATTTCTTAAAAACATAATAATTGTGTTATTTTCTTTATGTCTAGTGTGACTACGTCTGCAAATGTTTGGACCACAATTAATGAAATAAAGCATAATTAACACTTTGTGAATGATATAAGGGAATATTAATTACTCGATGGAGTTGTTTGAAATCTAGAAAAGAAAAACAATATTCACAGTAAAGAATATATACTTTTTTTCCTTCTAATCACACTCAAACTAAAAAATAACGATAAGTGAACTTCTTATAAAGTTTTTCATTTTTATATCAGTGATTTGTTTCTAATTAGATTAAAAAGATGGTTTTTATTTTTAATGAACACATAAGCTAATCTCGAGAAGAGTTGATAAAAAAACAATTAGTAAGAGTGCCATAGAGTACTCAGTTGTATTTTTTTTCTACCGTGTGTAAAATGTTGGGCTATATATATACATCCAAAGAAAAATATTACTTAACTTTTTATAGCTCGTGAAGAAAGGCATTTTATGTGACTTGAACTTATTTGACTAGGATTAATATTTATTCTAGCTGTATTGAACGAATGTGGCATAAGAGATTGAAAAATATAAGCGGCTCAGAAGAATTGCATGTTGTCTTAATCTTTTACCATACGTATAAATAAAGCAATGGAGCAGACAAATTACAGGACTTCCCCACAGTACATATTTATATCAATGAAATGCAAAAGGTCAAGCCACCGAGGACTCGTCAAAATGGGGCTGTGCCTCCCCAACTAGGTGTTTCGCAGCATTAAAGGAAACCCCCTAGGAAGATGTAGGTTTTATCTGGAATCTTTAGCTAGGGTTTTAATTTCCGCTGAAGCTTTTCATTAAATACCCTTACTATAAGTCCACGTAACACCTTCAGCCCTGTAAATGAATCAGCATCTATATAAGGAAGTTGTATCACAATTCAGACACGAGGTTAATCACGAGGAGAGAATTAAATTAAGAAAATAAAAATTAAAAGAAGAAAAAGAAGGGGGGAAAAAAGAATCGAAGACCCTTAATTGTTGCTTAGATTATTTACATACATGAAAATAATTTTTCCAGACAGTTTGTTGGTTCAACATGCATGAAAATATTTTACGGTAATTTTGCCTTACTCTGCTTAAATTTCCACCAATTTTATTAGGATTTAAACTTGAGGAAAAACCTCAAATTCACAACGTTTTCACTAGAAAAAAAAAAAACACATCTAAAACAGTGGACGCTTATAAAATGAATTTAAACCCGTAAACCAAAATGTTTATGTAAACAAGATTCTGTCCCTTGGGCTAAAAAGCATGCCCTAGATTAATAGGGCTTGAATGTAAGTACAATTCTTTGTTTTACTTGCATCTTTTTAGTTTTTAATTAAGTAGTAAGCACAATTCATGATATAGGTTATTTTAAAAAAAAAGTACAGTTCATAATAAAATCGATGATAAAAAATTAAGGCATATGCAAAGCAGTGATGGGCTTTCCATAATGCAAGGGATTGGCTAGGAGGGTTCTACACTCATGGAAGCAGGAAGAATATGAATAACTCTTTTGCTATTAGTACTAATTTTCTTTTTAAAATAATAATAATAATAATAATTTGTTCTCTGGTCCCTCCCTTGCATTTACCTATTTAAAGCCATTCCTCTTCTCATAGATCCATGAGTTGCTTGAAGGAGGTATATAGCTTGTGATTGTAGAAGCTCTCCACCCCTCCTTTTTCTATGTACTTACCCTTTCTGATATATCTTTTGCCAACAGTCCCTTCCTCAATCTCTGTCTTTCTCACATTTTCCACCATTCTCAACCCCCTTTAAATTTGATGGTCCATTTCAACTTGAATTAGTGCTATGCTTTTCAAATTTGGTTGTGATTTTGAGGATGGTGTCTGGCTATGATGATTAGCAGGGTTACATGGAGTACTCATAAACCATGATTCTATAGCTATGTGAAAGTCGCATAGATCTACATTAAATTTTGCACCTGAGCATTGATGAATCTCTTTGTGAATTTCTTATCTAGTGTATCTTCTTTATCTTTAATCATGCACTGCATCTTCATTTTGTTTTTAACGGTTTTTTTTTTTTTAATGGTCTAGGTGACAATTAATAGCTAAGAGAGCTTTCTTCAGTCCACTCATGGGTAGCAATAGGATTTAATTAGCTGCCGACTCATTCATCCAAATACTGAGTTGAAGGACAAGGAGATTACCCAGTAAATGAGTGAATGATGCGGGAGACAAATTGAATCTTAAGCTGCCTGTACTTGGACTGAAGGGAGCTCCCTTTGCTTTAATACTTTATTTTATTATTTCTTTCTTTTGTTTATGGCTGGGGGCCAATGATATATATATATTCTTTCAGACAGCATGAAATCATTTTATGCTGAGGTAATGCTAGATAACCTTGAACATATCCATTTTTCGTTTTAGTAGTCTATATCTAGAATCTCTCTACCTTTCCATGAGTTTATCTTGTTTTGTGATCTATGAAGAGATCTGCTTGTAAATATCCAAGATAAAAGCATGTGTACCTAGAACCTTAAATAGCTTCAAATCCATTCTAAAAAAAAAAAAAAAAATGAAAGTTTGGCTTTAAATTGGTTATCAGTTACCTTGCTCTTTATTTTTTTCCTTTGGTTATGAAAATTGCCCAATAGTGAAAATTAGGGGTTGCAAGCTTAAAGTATGGTGATCCTTGACTAAAAGGGTTGCTAAAAGACTTGGTTTCGTTAGGAATTAATCAAATTGACCTAAACTTGGCCTAATTGGCTGGACATGCTAACCATATATGCTTGCAGGTGAACTTTCTCTATAAGTAAACAGTGTTTGAAAGTTGGACGCAAAGTGTTTTAGGGTTTTGATCAAGCTGCATCTGTTTCTTGTTAAAGGCAACAACGCACGAGAGGCAGAAGTTTTTACAAGCTCACGCTCCACGACATTAGCTTCTTGGGTCTTGCTCTTAAGCTGCAACAAGTTCCTAGACGGCAAAGCATGTCCCCCAGAAGTAGAATTACTGTAATATCCTCAATTGAGTATGTTCTTTTTTTATGAGCAACTCAATTGAGGTTCTTAGTTTATGAAGGATATATACTTCTGCCAGAAGAACTCTCTTTGCTAACTAGTTTTGACCTGTTTATGAGGAAATAAATTTCTGAACAAAGAGATTTCTTCAGCTCGTGATTTTATTTTCTTACAGTAATATTAAGATCGAAACCCTTCATATCATGTTATTTTATTTTGTATTCTTTCTTCATTTCTTCAGACACAATTCTTCCAGTTCCCGACAACCGTTCAATCTGTATTATGCATAAACATGGCAGAAGAACTGCAAAAGCTTTGTGCCTAGCTGGCAACCTACCAGCTATATGATTTGAGAAAAGCGAGCCATTTGGTTTATCATATAACTTGATATGCCTCTAGGTATAAAAAACATTTAATTTCTCTGAATTCTTCTGTAGTATCATTGAAGCAAAATCTGGAGAAAAGCTAGATGAGAATGAAATTTTGCTCTCCTCTCCCCCACAGAGCTATATAGGAGTATTCTTTACCATGATCCCCCACCAACCTTTAATTTTAAGTATGGATTGACAAAACATAACTCAACATTATCTTCCTGATTATGGTGTTGTGTGACAGCAAAAAGTGCATATTGACATTGTGTTCTTTACTACTAATAAGATTCGATTCCCAAATTAGCAATTCTCAATTTTAAGAACCACGTATGTAGGAGAAGAAAATTTAGTGGGGAGATGAACATTTATGAATAATATACTCATATCCAGTATTTGATGTGCAGCTATTGTCACTTAAGTTGACTCCTGTTGAAACCCTAAAATATAAATCACAGATAGTTAAAGGTATAGTTAGAAAGGCCAAAAAAAAAAAAAAACTTTTGTATGGTAAAGTGGTTCTTTCTCATGTATATTGCCACAAATAAACCACAAAAGTTGGGTTCTTCTCTTTAGTGCTTTCCTCCCTAAGGCCAGTGAATGACAGGTGCCATACAATCTCTGGCTCTCTGTGGGTTTTCCTTTCCCCAAACGAATCTCTCTGCAAGAGAAACAATTCCCATCACAGATGTTTTTTTCTTTTTGATGCTAGGAGTGCTGGCTAACTCTTTTCCGCTCCAAGCTTACTAACACTACGCCAAATATAGATACGAGCTTTTTCTGGGAGTCTTGTAGACTTTTCAAAATCCAACGGCTGTTTCTCACGCCATGATTGATCGTTTAACACCATCTTTAACAAACACACAAGTGCCATTGTTTTTTGTCACTATTGTTTTATCAATCTATTTGTTACAAAGTGATTTTTCCACATGCCCATCCCCTAATGGTCTTAAGATCCATTAAAAATTTTTGGGTGCTCAAAGCTATCATTTGATCCCAAGCATTTGTGTTGTGTCTAGAGACACATGAAAGAAAAATTGATGTAAAATTCTGATAAAGAACGAAAATAGTAAAATGATTGGTAAAAAGTGAAAATGGAATATATCGTCATCCAGAGTTAAATGGTACAAATAATACTTGAATTACTTGCCATTTTGATCAAATCATTTTTTTTAATACATAAAATAATAGAGTTTTTGGATAATGACTCCCTTTGTTTTTCATCACGATCAAACCTGGCAAGTAGGTTGGGTTTGAGTCAGGTGTGTCTTTGATTCGTATTGCTTCGACTTTGAATTGTATTTGGATTCATTTTATTATATACTTTATTATAAATTAACATCTACATACCTGTTGTGAATTAAGAACCTCATAATTATAAATATATACACTTTTATATTGCAATGACTTATGAATAGTTTTTTACACTTGTAAAATATTAGGATTTAAATTCTCTAAATTGAGCTTAAAAAAAAATTCAATACAAAGAGAGAATAGATTATCTCCTTATTTTTATAATGATAATCAATTCAATCCATCATAGTAATATAATTTTCTTTCCTAACTATTAACATTAATTTCTTAATGCCTATATATATATATATATATATATATATATATATATATATTGCAATGAATTGAGATAAAAAATTAATAAGATAACATGTTGTCCAGTAAGTTGTTTCAAACAAATAAAATGATTCTCATAGAAAGAGAAAAAAAAAACTGAAAACGATAATGACTTTACCACATAGAGCAAACAATTACAAATATTAGATCATTTTTATATAAAAATTATCTAACAATAAAAGAATTTGACAAAACATATTCATTATTATTTTATAGTCTAAAAATAATATCTTCAAGACACATCCTCCCTTATGTGCTAATGCATAGAGAAAAAAAGAGTGAAATACTCTCTCTCTCTCTATATATATATAAACAATATAAACAATTGTATTAGGTAAATCACCTACTCTTAGAGAAATTATCCGCGTATATAAAGTAGAATGACCAAAACATAAGAATGGAAATCGTAATGAAAAGTAAAAAAAAAAAAAGGATCGTTTATTCTATTTTATTAGTAAGAATTAGAAAGTGAAGAAAAGATGAAAAGGCTTAAGAATGGCATTTTTATTTATTACATAAATAAAATTTGGGTTTTATGAACTAAAAGTTTAATATAGTAGCTGATTCACAGGTCAAATTGATTTAGTTTAAAAGTTTTGGTTTATTTGAAATTCAAGTGATATTGCATTTTGAGTTATAAATACTAAACTCATGATCCTAGTAGTGGATAATATATATATATATATATATATATATTGTCCAAATCAAGTATCTAATTGGTTAAGTGTTAAAAAAAATGAAAAAATATAGGTGATGGCAATCAAAATGATCCTAAGGTTTGTAATTAAATGTTTTAACCCACCTTTCATTATAAATAAAAAAGATGTTGATATGTTTTTTTATTATGAAAATTATTATATTAGTTTAAGCCTTCTTTTAGTTTGCTGTCAAGGAAAAACATAATCCCTAACATTTACCTTTCTTGATTTTTATCCTCGTTCTATATATATACATTTTTTTTTAATTGAACATCCCATCAATTGAATACCTACCTACACGCACGTGATAGCCATGTGATATATCCCTCTTTGTGGATACAAACCCGTCAGGTGGGATGGTATTTTATAGCCATGTGATATATCCCACTTGGTAGATACAAACCAGTCAGGTGCGATGTTATTTTCTTTTCTAAAAAGAAAAGGACAACGGTCTAGTATTTCACATATAATGCAATTAACATCTAATCAGATTTTATATGTTAAAATAATTTAATTATATTTAAGTAAAATTTTAAGGTCAGGTTACTAAAGAAATCAGTGACTTAAATGTGACTATTTTTTTTTTAAATACCCATAAATTGAATGTGTGTAAGTTATGTTTTATTTTTTTTAAAAAAAAATTCGGTAAAAAAAGAAAAAGAAAAAAAGTTGTGTGCCATTTGTTTTCTTTTTATCCAAAATTCAGATGAGACTTAAGCTAATTAACCATATATATATATGAGTTTAAAAGTGAATGTTATATAATTAAGAAATTGTTGATCAACGGAAAAAGGTTCTTACTCGATTAGTAACTGCAAACCACCGAAGCAAAATAATGAGCATAGAGTTAAATATGTAAGAAATGAAGATAGAATAAAATAAAAATAGTCGGTGGTATCCATCAAGAGTTTGACAATGAAAATAAAATCTATCGAGTGTTCTAAAAGTCTGATCTCTCTTTATTTTCTGGGGCCTGAATGTTCCAGCCCATTTGGAAAAGTTTCTGTGGATTAATTTCTTAATCACTCAATCTGTCTTATCTAACATCTCATCTAAAGATACGAAACTAAATCTTCCAAAGGATATTGTAAAATTTGACTGTCCTACTTTGCTAAGGAAGGACACGCAATACCCCAACAGCTCAGGGCCTACTCCTAAGAAATGAAGACAAGATATGAAGAGATGGAACTTTTCTCTACTAGCTAGGCTAGGCTAGGCATCCCTTGCTGATGTGACAATAACAATAACATAGCAAAGCATTTTCCCCCCCTTTTTTAATCAATTCTGCCAACTTTCGTATGTCTATGACTTAATTAGACTACGCGACCATAAATATTCTTCTTGACGACTTCATTGAAACCTCTGAGAATGGTGAGATGTTTAGCAAATGTGAAACAAGAAACAATGAGACGCCAGTCACCACCACAAAGCTAAATTTCTTAATTGCAATTTTATGATAAAATTTGACTGACATTTAGTTTAAAGGCACTTATAAGAAATTTCGCTGATATTTTAGTGTCACTTGGCATAAATAGTGCTGTATAAAATGTCATATAAAATTCTATTTTTTACCAACAAAATTGGTATGAATGCGATATAGACATTTGATAATGGATCATTACAACGAAAATAAAAAAGCCCTAATGGTAGCCACATATAGCTCTTCATTTTTTTTATAGCCACATATTTTTCATTAATCATTACATGCATGAAACAAGAAGATATTGACAAAAATCATATATATATGCTGAAGATAAAAAAAAATGAAATTTTTATTTACATAAAAAAGGAGGATTTGTTTTCTTTCTTTTTTCATTCTTATCTATTAGAAAATCTTGGAATTAGAAAAGATGATATTTAAAAAAAAATCCAATAAAATTAAAAAAGCAGGCACGCACATCGGCACACATAGGTAGTGGTTTTGGGTTAGGGTAAAACGTTTGAAAATTTTCAGTGGGCAAATTCTGCAACTGATGCCCAACAACTCACATCCACACATATGACATATATATAGTAGTGCACGGCACATCAAATTTCACGATCACAAAAACATTATGGACTAAAGAATAGAATAGAAAAAAAGGCATTGAAGCCTGATTAAAATTCAACTCTTTAAATTCATGGACCATGTCGAAACACTTGAGGCTCTAGTGGTCCCGAAATTACTTGATATTTGCAATTACAATCTCATGCGGAACAAAATGACTTCATGGTAGATCTAGTTGCCCCACACCTTTTCTATACCCTGCACACCATTCTTTTCATCTGTTCCTGTGCCCTTCCCACCAAAAGAAACATATCCAACTCTTTCTTTGTCTTTGAACCCTAAACGATGAGGTGAGAAATAAATTCAGTTATGAACCGGGACATGTTCATATTTTCAAATTTCAAGTAGTGGTGACGGTCCTTTTCACTAGCTTCGTGAGAAGGGGGTAATTGATTAGCACTTTGGTATAAAACCATTAGATGCATGCACACCTGTGAAGATAATAAAAGAGATAAGGTACCCTTTATCACATTGTTTAGCCACATGTAAGCTGGCTACTTCAGGAGCTCTATCATGGGAGGAAAAATGTTGGAGATTTTCGAAGTTGGACCCTGCGATAATGCCTACCAGATAGGATTCTTAATAGGGCAGAGGTTTTCTAATAAGATAAGGAGCAGATTATCTGGTGACCTCATTCTTCAAAGTCAGCTCCTTCCTTTTGCTAAAACACCAGAGTCAGAGCCACTGATTAAAGCACTCACCATTAACAACCGAAAGAAATTTCCAAGATACTGGGATGAGCTATTAGGGACAGCAGAAGGAAGTGGAGTCCCTGTTCTTGATGTAATAATCATCACTCAGGTTCGTGGAAGTAGTATTCTTTAGCACCTAACATAATGTCAGTAAATTATTGTTCGTGTGCGCAGGTGATATTAATCAACTTCAGAAAGGAGATTCTTCCATTTCTTCCAAAGAGTACTGCAACAAATTCAAATGTAGACGTCAGCCTTTCCGACACCCCAGATGACTGTTCTGATGTCCTTGTTGTTAGCGACACCATCGCCCTTGCAGCACATAATGAAGACGCAAATGTTGCTTTAGTTGGGCACACGTAAGTTTTGAATCCTTGTAAATCCTATGTTTTTTCTAGGGGTAAATCCATTTTTATCTAATTCAACAACTTTTTATTTATCATGTCCCATTTTCATATTGGGTTTGCAGCTATATAATCAATGCAACTTTGCCAAGTGGGCTATCCTTTGTTGCCTACACATATGCAGGAGAGCTTCCAAGCTGTGCATTTGGGTTCAACAGTAATGGACTGGTATGCTCTTTCACCCATCAAGATCCTATTAAGGACCAGTTCTCTGATTTTGGTCGCACAACAGGGCGTCAAAGCTTTAGACCTCACACATTGGATGTAGTTTGGTCAAAATTAAAACGATCAGATAATGGAAACTGGGAAATGAACTGGCCTACCAAATATCACCAGAAGGGTTTAAGCCTGGAAGTTCCGGCAGCGGCCGCCTCTGTTGTTTTAACTTTTTAACTATATTTTGCTTGTTAAGTACTTGATAAAACCTAAAAATGAAAATCTAACCTACACCACTCGTGTCATCTTATTAGGCATTTACGTTAAATTCAGTGCCCCCATCTGAAGCTGAAATAGTCGCTGGTGGGATTGGTAGGAACTTTATCTCACGAGACCTCCTGGAAGCAACAAGCATCAATGATGCATTAAGTGTAAGAATGTAGTAGTCTTAGGCTTTTCATTACGTTGAGATTAGTTACTTTTGGAGTTTGACAGCTCTGCTTTTCTTTCCAGAGAATACAATCTTCAGAAGTTTCTGTAGGGCACGGTTATAATCTTATTAACATAGGGACGCGAAGAATTTTGAATGTTGAGACTGCATCTAGGCATCGAGTTTCAGTTCATGAAGTTGGGGCAACACCATTCTTCCATGCAAACATGTATCTCCACCTTCAAGTTGAGCAGGTAAATTAAACACAACAAAAACTCTGCCTATACAAGATGTTGAAATAGAGAGCCATACTCTTACGTTATGAATAAGCCAATTCTACCTTCACCAGCATCAGCCATAGTGTAGCCTAAACACAACACTGCCAATCATATATTTCCCTCAAAAAAAATTTGATGTGGCTAATCTCATTTGGTTTTACTTGGTATGGAGGTGACTTCTACACTTGAAGCAATCTTATCAGATAAAAGAACACAAACCAATTTAATTAAACTTGTAAAATTATGGGTTTGATGCAAAGGTACTAGATGATAACTCGAAGAGCAGGCAAGAAAAGGCAGCTGTGCTACCGAAAAGATCAAAAGATGATTTCCTGTCACTTCTTGGGGACATGGCTGATAAAAGATACCCAATTTACATGACAGGTATTAAAAAATAATTAGAACCCTTTCTCTTCTTCAGCAAATTTTACTTACCATTTTTGGCCATATTTTCAGGTCCAACACTATACACTCTATGCACAGCTATGATTGATCTGGACGACAAGACGCTATCAATTATTGAAGGAAATCCAAAGAATGGAAAAGTTTCCTACATTTTCTCCATGTCCTCAAAAGAGCTCGAGTAACAGAAAGAGCAGCCAGTGTTACTGTAGTTGATATAGAAATCACTTGTATTTGAAGTTCTTATGCAGGTTCGTAGAGGCCCAACATGTGGCCGTCTATACACCGCAATGCAGCAACCTGATCAACAGCAATTCGTACATCTTTAAATCCTTTATAACGAGACTACAAATAAATAGATAAATGTCTATTGATACTGAGGTAATTACCTTTCCATGGATTTCATACTTGATGGGGCCATCTAATTCAGCACCTAAGGCCATTAATTTTGTCACTGTCGTGTTAATGTCAGTCACCGTGAAAGATAGCAAAGAAGAATGCCCTTTCTGCACAAGATGATTACTGTAAAATTGGGGTTAGAAGCTTGCACCAATGGGGCTGAAAGTAACCCAGATGCTAAAACCAAAATAGCAAACAGGCCTAAAAACCTTTTGATATATCATTTCCCGAGTACCAAAACCAAACTTCTAAGCATAATTAAAAATGACACAAGGGAATGTGCAAGCAATGTATTTGAACTCTAAACGTTGAACACCTGTACGCTACAATAATCCACTATCAGAGAAGCATTCATCATCCAAATTGTCTAAGGCAGTGGCAACCGATCATAATTCGTTCCCAAGAAAGAAAAATTTGATCTCCTTGAATCTTTGACAAGGAAAAAGAATCTAAAACCCCATGAAATACATGTGAATATGAGAATTTTCATTAACCGTATAATCCTCCCCCATGTTAAGAAAGGTTCCCTCTTGTGAACATAATCAAAAGACAAAGTTCAGTCCCTCACACACACTGACTGGTGGTTTAAAATCAAATTCTCTCCATTTTCAATAAAACCCAAATGGCCCAATCTTAAAAAACTTTACTCATGTTTAACACTGATATTAAAGTGTGGGCGAGCTTCTTGTAGACATTTCATCGAACAGATATAAGGCATTATTAAAAAAAAAAAACGTAAGAAATGGTTCTTACTCGTGAGATTGCATGAGAGCGAGCTTAAGGGGACCACATTGAAGTTCAGCCCAACGAAGAGTGCACACATTTACAGCGAAATCCAGTCCTTCTGAGTAGAAACGAGCTGCTTTAGGCACGTCCTTGTGCAGCTGTAGTAACCACCTAAAGGAGGCCGCCCCTGCCATCTATCTCTCTCTCGCTAATCTTGTGTATATGGGGAGCAGAAAAGAGAAGAAGAAGCGCGAGAAAGCAAATGGGAAAACAGTGGAAACCATGAAACGCTTCAAAGCTAGTTGGTAAGTCTCGCACTCCATAGTCTATGGTACAAAGATATGGCCCAAGCCCACTAACTAAAGCTAATTACCCTTTTTGTCTTATGTATTACAGTCCAATTGGGTCTTTTTTCGATATAAAGCTCGAAAAGCCTGAGAAAGATCATACATACAAACTCGATCGGAACAAACAAAAAAAGATATTGTTTTTTCAAGTAAATTATAAATTAGTCCATATAGTTTGGAGAAACAAATTAATCACTCCTTAAAAAAAATAATTATTTAGTCTATATTTTTAATTTTTTTGTAACTTAATTCTTTTTGCTTTTTTTTTTTTGTAATAATTTTTTTTTTTGTTTTATGAAATAAAAAAAGAAAAAAATGGAATAAGTGATGAAAAAAAATGACGCTTTATTAAATAAAATAATATTAAATTAGATATTATCAATACTAAAAGAATTAAATAATTAGTTAATGAAATAAAAGAAACTAATTAATTAATTTCTTGAAAATAGAAAGATTAGTTATTTAATTAATTGCTTATTGTCTTATTGCAGCTGCTAGGGTCGTGTTAGGTTCAGTCATTCTTGTTCATGTTATTTGTAAGCGTTTCAGTACAAGCGTTCAAGGTCCAAATGTAACAACTGAACCCATCAATGGCAAAAGAGAGCTAGCTACTGGCAGAGACAACAAAACCAATTAACGAACAGAGTTTTTATTTTATTTTATTTTTTATCTGCTTGAAAAAAAAAAGGCTATTGGCAGAACACCAAAATAATAAAAATAAAAGATAACCCTAGTGTATGAGTAGGAACAGAGAGAATTCAGCACATGATAGAACTTGTAAAATTACTCAAAATTGTAATGCTTTTTAAAAAAATTTCTAGTCCATCTAGCTATAAAACAGTATAACACTCATATACAGACTTGAATTTCAAATTACAAAAGATGAATACATAGCTCTGTTTAAAGACAAAGCAGTAATATTGAGGATAGCGTGGCCAATATTCACAAAACCAAGTACCTGGTCCTGAAGGTCTCAGCAGTCGATTCCCTTATTTCCAACAGGAACTAGTAAACAATTCAACTCAGAGTTTTCACAATAGCCTAAGAGGAACCTTTGAAGATTTTTAAACGAGAGCGTGGCCCCTTTGACCGCGCTTCAAGAAGCTTCGCTTTCAAAGTATTTTCCTTCAAGTTTGGAGGCGGTTTTGTAGAAGACTCAGAAATATCAAGATCTGGGGTTGCAAGTTTTGACATCCATTGTCGAACCGGACTAGCATTCCTCCTTGGTGGGTAACTGCAAGAAGCCTCACCAGCATCATTCTCAAGGTGCAGATTAACAGCTTCTGATGATGAGATATGACTTCTTATCAAGTTATCAATTACATAATTCGAGTTTGACCCTTGAATTTCATCAAGTTTGCTCTTTCTTTCAAGACTGCCACCTTCCGTGGCATCACAGTTTTCAGACCTCCTAGAAATACTCAGTTCAGTAGGGTTCCCTTCACCTGTTTTTCCCTCTTCCAGGTCCAACACCTGGGATTTCTTATTTCCATTACATGGCATAGCCTGAGCCAAATGTTCTTCAAATTTAACTTGCAAGTTGGATGGATTTTGGCCTCTGGTCCTTTCACGAGATGCAAGCTTTTTCTTTGTTCGAGTGGATTTGTCCATTTCTGCAGTATGACCAGCTACAGCTTCATCTCCATGTAAGTGAAAGCCACCATTGCTTGGTTTGCTAAGCTCAAAACAGTGTGAATCACTGCCCGTTGAATCCTCTTCATCACCCACATCTTGTGGAGCACTTACAGCCTCATTCAGAGGGACAGATTCCATTGAATTCCGCCGTTCCCTGGGCAAAACATTATTGCTACACTTAGAATTACCCATTCGTTTAGTTTTAAGGAATGTCTCTATTTCAAAACCCAATTTGTCCACTATTGAGTTGTTTTCAGCAAAACCATGCTGTGCTTCTTCTAGTCTCATCTGCATCCGCTCATCAAGCCATGATTCAGATATATGGAGAATCAAACAATCACCATCAGCCCTTCCAACCCAATCCCTGTCAGATTTTTGATTCAGAGCATGCACTTCCTGTTCATAGTCTTTTATTCCCTTGGCAAACTCATCGCAAAGGTCTTCCAACAACTGTCTAGATTTTCTCTCTCTTTCCATCTCTTTCAAAGCATTAGAAAAAGATGATTTCACCTCAGAAACCTCGCGAGCTAATTTCCTGTGTAGGCTCTCTGATCGTTTTCTTAACTTCCTCTCATCTTCCAGCTCATCCCTCAGAGACTGGATAGCAGCATGCAAACGATCCTGCTCCTTACTCTTCCGAACTAGTTTATCTTCAGCAATTTGCTTCATTAAATCATCCATCTCATGCCGATCTGCTTGCTGATTCCGCAGTAGTTCTTTGATCCTGACACGGGCATGGTCTAGCTCCGTCTTCAATGCTTTTATCAATGACATGTTAGAAACATGCTGTTCTTCAAGGCTCCATATTCGATTCAATACTTTTAGCAGTTCTGTGGATGTTTTGAGACTATAATGTGACTCGCCAATCCTCCCTCTAAAATCCAACGAGCTGGAAGGAGTGACAGCAGGGTTATAAGGTGCCACCTGTAGAAGAAAGACGTGTCAAAGTATGAGCTGAGGCCAATTGTTTCTCTGTAAGGAAGCATCATGGCAAGAAAAGAAAAATTATACAGAAAAAGACAAGATGGAAGTCAAAGAGATAGTAGGTGCTTCAGTCAGCTGTATGCACTGATAGACCTATTTGGAAACAATTATATGTAGAAAAAACAACAGACAGGTAAATCAGAGGAGGATCACAATAGAAAGTGAAATTTTATATCCTTGGTTATATGCTGCCACCTTATCCATCCCCCTCCCCGCCCTCTTTCCAGGAGATTAGGGAATAACAGACAAAGCAAAAAACAAAAAAGTGAGAAATTTTATGAAAATGGAACTGATATGTTACCATTCATATAACTACCAGGATATGAATCTATCATTGTGAATAATAAATCAAAGAGAGGGGGCAGGATGAAACTATATATGCGCCCATATACTCTAGTTAATCGATGCAAAGGGGAACTAAAACTTGGGGCTCAAACAAGAAACTTTATGCAATTTGAGGAATGTGGTACAATGCCCTAGCAGCTTGTGTAGGAGTAATCATCGACTCATGGTTTGATAATCAGTCTTCCTCTTGCTACTCAAAACAACTTTTACTGCACAATTGGCTCCAAGAAAACCAAAATTGCTTCATAACAAAATCATCGTTTTCACAGGGCTCTGTGTATTCTCCCGATCATTAGTGAAAATTCATCAACGCTTACCTCCATAGAACTACCATAACTTGCTGGAGATACAGGTTGCAGAGCACGATTACTTCTTTCAATTGATCGATGATGCTGAATCAGAGATGCAGCAATATGTCTCCTTAAACTGCCTGCACTTTCTGGCTGGTTAAGAAATGACATAAAGATTAGCAGCAGAAAGAACACCACTGGTACAGATTCAAAATTAGGATGAAGTTAATGCACATCAGGCGAGACAGTGGAAAATATTAATTAACTAAGAACCTGTTTGTTTGCAAAGATAGTCATTGTCGACAAGTTTAGAGTCGGACTAAATATAGTGCATGTTATGGATTCATTAAATATTTAGAGCTCTCCAAAGGCTTTCCAAGTTGAATAAAAAAAAGTATTGAAGGACTACACTTGGATTAGTTAAGACGAATATCCAACTAACAAGAGGGAAGTTCTTCCCCAAGAAATTGCCAATTCACAATTGACAGCCATTCTGGCAGAAAATATAACAATTGCAGAACAGAGCAAACGGTCAAAAGACCATAGGAAACAAAGAGTAGCATTGCATCAAAAACAATCAAAGCAATGAGAAGAACCTAACTAAAATAATAAGTTAGATATCCTCCCCATACAAAACAATCTGTACATTTATAAAAAAGAAAAAACCAAACTTTGAATAAGTCAAAATATACTAAAAATAACAATTTTCATCAATCAAAACAGAACCTAACAATCTATGATCTGTGACAAGAAATTTCAACCAACAGGAGGAGCTCCATAAACTAAACTTTATCAACCATTAAAAAATAACAGAGCCAGCATCAACATAATTTTCCCATAACATAAACCAGAATCAAATAAAGCACCCCAAAATTCAACAACCAATCAGCATCATCAAAACCACAAAATAAAATAAAATAAAACCGAATCAGCCAAACCCAACTAAGAAATGAATAAAAAAAACCAACCAAATACACACACATATTATAAGCATATGTATATACCTGATCAGGAGAACTAGGAGAAGGGTCAGCTAAGAAATGAGAGAGGTCAAGTCCCCTGTCCTTAAAAAAATGATGCCGCTTTTCGTGTCGGCGAAACCTAGAATCACCACCACCGCCACCATTAGTAAGGTGCACACCCCTGTGCATTTTAGAGAGACTAGGCAAGTAATGTTGAAATTCCCAGAGAGCAGCAGCTAGCTTTCTAGCAGAAACAGCAGCAGTGTTGGTGTTGTTAAAAAGTAAAAGAGGAGGCTCCTCCTGCTCCTCTCGATGACTATTGATATTAGTGCTGTCAATGATGCTAACATGCGCAGTAGGTAAAGGTTTCCAAAGTCTAACTGGAGTGCAAGAAAAAGGGCCCACTCTTTTCCCTACCAAGACACCTCTCTTCAACTTTTCCCTCAATCTTTCCTCCTTTTCTGCTGCCCCTTCTCCACTTTTACCTTTCATTCTTTTTTTTTTTTTTTTATTCTCTCTTGGTGGAGTCTTGGTTTTTTAGCTCTTTCTCTCTCATTCTTTTAGGGTTTCTTTTTTTTTTTTCCCCTTCTTTTGTCGGGGTGGGATTTTCTATCTTTGTAGACTCTGCTGATCAGTTTAAGAGGTTAAATGGAGAGAAAATTTTGTTTGTTTTTATGTTGTTGTTTCGGAGTTGCAGTGGGTTTTTGGTGATCTCCATGGACAAAAAGAGGACAAAAGGGAGGGATGATCGTAGAAAGAGAGAGAAGGGAGCAAAATTGTTGGATTCCCTGTCGATTGATTTAGTTGGGTCACCCGCCAATTTGTGACTGTTATTTTTAGGAAAGGGTTGGTCATTTTCTGCTTTTATTTCTTACCTTTATTTTTGGAACTATATATATATATATATAGATAGGAATTACATTTTTATTTTTACTGTTTTCAGTCACAATGGTCAGAGTATCTTTCAGCTTGGATTTCGTGCATTGGGGAAGGTTTTAGACAAGAATAAACTTGAACATCGGTGGAAAAAAATTTCCTTTTTGTAATTTTTTTAAATTTAAATTTGAAACAATAATGTGGATAACAAATCTAGTTACTATAAAAAAAACTTTTAGAATACTTTTGTTTTATTTTTTATGTTTTTTTTTATTAATAGTTCAATTTTTTTTTTTTTTATAAATAAGACAATTTTTTAATTTGTACTTGTATCTCTAATTCAGTTATATTTTATTTTTTAATATACATTAAGTTTCTAATTTATTCTTTTAGTAAAATTTTAAGTTAAACTATCAAAATTAATCATGTGTTTGTAAACAATAATTTTTATTTTCAAAATGTCCTTGTAAACTAGACAAATTGAATGTTTTATGTGTAAATTATGCGACTAATTTCGATTATTTATGTTAGAAATCTTGTCGGAAAATAGATTAGAAATTTAACATATATTTAAAGATAAAATTGAGTCAATTAGAAATATATATATATATATATATATATATATATATATATATATATATGATGGAAATCAATCTAAAACATCTTTTAGAATTGATTTTTTTATCGGTTTAGTCCATTTAAATAAGACTAATAGGACACCTAGATATGTTGATTTGGGGTTGATCTTGGTAGAAGAGTTTAATGTTTAAAATTTTATTGCTTTTTATTTGTTATTTTTTTTTATCAAATTTTATTATTAACTCGATGTGTATTTTGGACGGCCTAAAATGAAATGTAAAAATGGAATGATTCGAATTTTCTTATATTCTTAAAAATATGATAGATTTTGTTTATATAATCATATGATTGAATCCAAATCAATAGTTAAGATTTTCGTTCACGTCTGGATAGTTGTAAGAAAATTCAAATATGTCATTGGACAATTATTTGATTTTAAAATAAAATGTGTGTAAATTCAACAAAAGTAATTTATCATGTCTTTAAAAATATAAGAGTAAGAAGTCATGTTTATTTATTTTAGTACATAAAAAGTCATGTTTATATAAAAAAATATTTACACCTATTGTATTATTCGAAAAATTTTATATTATTCTAAGAGTAATTACTAATATTTACTCTATTAAAAAGAGATAGACACAAAGAGAAGAAAAAAAATAGGAGAGAGAAAATTAAAAAAAAACAAAATATAAATATTCTTATCACTTTTAAAGAGTTTGAATGTAACTCGTTTTTTTTTTTTTAATCTCTCTCTCACATTTTCTCTAAAAGTAGGTTTATAGAGTAACTATTGAAAGTATACAATAGTTATTTCTTAAGTATTTTAAAATTTCTCGTATTATTTAGCATCAAGTTCAAAAATTCAATTCTCAACTAAACCAAAGGAAAATGAGATTTTTTTATTTTTTTTATTTTCAAGAGTTGTTTATTATCACTTGCTAGTGTAATTTTTTCTTTTGTTTTCAAAATTTAAAAACTTATTTATTAGGATTTTTAATTTTTTTTTTTAAAAGACCAATAACAACTATTGTTTTACATGATTATAAAATTTTACAATCAATTTTTGGTTTTTCATATTTTGAAAATAAATATAAAAAACAAGCAACAATATATGATAAACATCCTTAACCATTGCTTTATTGTATATAATCTATTGTCACGCAATTGATTTTTTCCCAAGCTCACAAAGCGGCACTTCACTCACTTTTCTTTTAAGTCGAACCATGTTAGCTTTTTTCTCATACTAAGTTATGAAGTAAAAAAAGACACACAAAAATTTTTTTCCTCGTAACCAAGTCACCATTCAAGCACTTGACTCATTTTTTCTTTTAAGCCAAGCCAAGTCAACTTTTTTCTCGTAGTAAATTGTTATGTAAGAAAGACACAAAGAGAGATATTATAAAAGTCTCTTTGTATTGCTTTCAAATGCTTATAGCTTTATTATATTACAACTCCTTTGTATTACAGACTTTTCGAATGCTTTCTTAGATGGTTTGTTCAAATAAAGACCTCACCTATTTATATAACTCTCCTCTTAAATGAATGGTTATGATCAATTTGATCTAATGGCTATAATTGATTATTTGAAATTCTCCTAACTAGATATTTACCAAAAACTCTCTAAATATATACACAATTAAAATAATCTAGAGAATCTCTAGAATAATCTATGATATATTTAGATTCCTTTTATATTTTAAGATGTTTCTCTACTTGTTTTAGAGACTTCTAGAGACTTCGAGATTAATCTAGTGTTCTTTTTAAATCTCCATAAGTGTCTCTATTCTTACAAAGTGTAACAATATGATTCCAGACTTTCAACTTCCAATATCGTTTTACATTTTGAAGGTGTCGTTTCCAATAAAATAGGAAAGCAATTCATCTTTGATGTTGTAGATGGTATAAAAAACAAGAAAACTATTGCCGCTTGCTTTTTGGTAAAATGACTATGATCTTGGTAATGAATATTAAATTAGTCATAATATTAACATTGCTAAAGGAAACACAAAAACCAATATATGGTGATATATCTATATGATATACTTAAAGACCACTTGATTAAGAATTTGTCATGAACATGATAATCCCGACTAGTAGCTAAAAAGCATTAAAATTGAATAAGAGGAGGACAATCAATATAGAAAAATAATTCAAGCAAAGAAGGTATCCTTTCATCCACTTGTTAGATAAAAAAACATACATTTAATAAGAACATAATTTTTTAGAAGGTTCTTGTCGCATGATTAACAAATATGATGCACATATGTCGTCGGATAACAACTATTGCCTAAAATGATTCTAAACCTTTAAGTGGATGTCATAAGCTATTGAGCATTAGAGAAGAAATTGATTTATCTTCCACTATATACAAGTTGATCATATCCCTATCTACGTAAAGGTTAACACACCAAGTGTTATAGCTTCGCTTTCAAGCTAAAAATAGATATACTACCAAGTATCTTTTATATTTACGAGCTAATTTCCATAAATCCTATTCAAGTCAAATATCTCTCTTTTTAAGCTAACTTATCCAACAAATGGTCCTCCAAACACTTTAGAATCACTTTTTTTTTTTTACCGGTATTCACTATTAATCCAACATACAACAAGGCTATAACAACCTTATGATCATTTGGATTGTAAGTCATCTCAATATTAATTTTAATCCAAAAATCATGACCTCATTAGTGATGTTGCTGGTAGGAAAAGAGCAAAATGCTAATATGTAACTCTTATTTCTCCATCATCAAACTTTTTCATGGCTTACAATTAGAAAACGCTAACTCATTCCACTCTATTCAATTTTGCCAATCAATATTATCTAGTTATAGCAATGCATCGAGACTTTGAATGAGGTATACATAATGATATAAGAACAAATATGGTCATGGACCACTCTTTTGTTAATTCCTTAAACACAACAAACATCTTCACATCCACCACCTCTTAAAACCTTCATAACATAAGCTACACCACATACAAACCCTTCTTACCGAAATAGACCAATTTGACACTCCAATGAAGAGGAGACAACTAGATATGGTGGAAAAAAAGCCAAAAGAAGAGAACATCTTCATTATCCAAGATCATAAAAAGTCAATCCTATTGTTGTGGTAAATAATCGGTTAGGGCTTCAGTAAGGAGAGGGAGAAAGATGATAGAACTAAGTATCGTTACAATACTAGAAGCAAATATAGGACTACCAAAAACCATTATAAGAACTAGGATAAAAGAAGCTCCTCTTTTTTTCAAGCCTCATAAGTGTGCTTGAAACCTATACACTAACGAACAAATAAGAGACATTGGCTACCATTCAGCTCTAAATCGGACCATTACAACTAGAAGCTCCAAGCCACTCTACTTGCCTCTCGAATCTTGAATGCTAGACTTTTAAGATATTTCTCTATGGAAAAGATGAATCTATATGTATATAATGGCATAAAAAATTCTTGAGAACATGTTTAAAATGTTTTAAAAAATCTCAAACTAGTCATCTAGAGCTTGAAAGTCATACGCAAAGTGATTCCTACCACTTTTCATGAGGGTGAGGAAGTGGTAAAACAAGTTAAACCCTAAATCGATCCATAATTTTACGGACCTATGCTCCAAACTAGTAGCTTGCTTATCTACTAGTATTCTCATTGAAAGAAACTTTAATGACTTATTCACAATCTCCTTAAAAAAGGAAGAAATCTCCAAATGACCTTTCTCACTTCCATGAGGAAATATTACAAGTTGATGGCCTTTTGAAACCTATATCAATTAAGGCCCTCATATTAAGGGTCGATGATGCAAATCTATGAATTTTTTTTATATTCTCTCTAAAAGAAATCTCTACTAAGTAAAAAAAAAAAAAAAAACGATATAGAGTCACATCCGAGTGGAAGGGGTGATACCCGATCGATAAGCTCGCCTACGCTTTTAAAAGATAATAAAGAAAGCCAAAAAAGAGATACATTTTCAAGCCTTGTTGTAGTCTGTTAACACCAAATTTTGACCGTAGTTAATTTTCTAAATCTTGTAAGAAAATACTAAAAAAGAAAAAAAGAAAAAAAGAGAGAATTATTTGAAAAAATTATTTAGGGGTTCAATTAAAAAAATACAAAGTATAAGGATTAAAAAAAACCAAATTTAGGATGCAATTGATAGGATTAAGACCCAAAATTTTAATTAAAAGAAAGGAAGGGCACAATTGAGAAAAAAAGCTAAGCAAATCAATATTACAATTAAAAAAATTAGGTGAAACCAAAGACCAAAATTAGTGTTTACCCATAATCTTAATTTTTCTCTTATAAATACCTAACCCCTTTAGCCATTTAAGTTGGAGATGAATCCTAAAAAATAAAAACCTAAAAATCTACCAAACAATCCTTAAGGAAGAAAAGATCTAGCCAATCATGGGTTAGACTCGTATACTAGTCGAAACTTTTTCCCAAATCGACCACCCTCTAGTCGATATCATTTTTAGACACTACCACCAATCAATAGCTCACACTCAAATCTGTAGTTTCCTATTAGTTAGAGAAGAAGGAGACATCAAAATTAGGGAAATAAATCCTATGACTC